TATATATTATTAAAAAAATTTAAAAACTAATATTATACTTGTGTATATATATATATATATATATATAAAAAGAGAAGAAAACAGAAAAAAAAGAAATATTAATCAATATTATCTATATTGAACAAAAAAAAAAATAAATATAAAGAAAGAAAATAACATCATAGATATTTTATAAGATTGAATTTTTATTTATAGATTCTTGCAATCTATCAATTTCATGCTATACCTGCGAATGGGATGGATGAGTTTGACAGCTGGCATACGTATCGGAGCTGTCTACGCTCCCTTGCTCGTTGTATATTTTTCCATAACTCGTGGTATCCATTGGTTGCAGCGCGGATATCTTCATCTCTGTTGCGAAAATCTGCTGATGTGCGGATGGTTCTATTGACATGACTCCGGATCGCATTGACTTCATTTCCTGGCAGATGGGGTTACGAAAGTCGCTAGTCGCCAGTGGCATTATATTTTCCGCATCTCTGAACTCTTTGTATTCCTAGAAACATGACCAAGGTAAAAAGTCTCGGTTTGTTGAAGACGAACCGCCGCAAACCAAGCGTCGCCTTCAATATCGGACGAATCCTAAAAATTTATATAAAATGGCGTATCTTTCATCAGCAAATGATATTTACTTCTATTAGTTAAAAAATATCAATAAAGTTGCATATCAAAAGTCAAATTTATCTAGTTTTTGTTATTTATTGAAGTTAAGAAAATCGAATCGAAGATAAAATCATCATTGTTAACTTGTGCATAAAATTTTGTCGTCTCATTATTAAATACTTTTTACATAATTAACTTTTAATAAGAATCATAATTCAATGGATGTTACAAGATCTCTTCTATAAAATTTTTTTTATATTGTTTTTTTTTAGATTTTAAAACTAAGTTTTTTAATTTTTTTAACTAATAGTTTAATAGATTTTTACATTTAATACTTAATACTTTAATACTTTAATATTAATAATTTAATATTAATTATTATTATTATATTAGTATATTAGTATAATTTAATACTAATATTAGTATATTTCATTACTAATTCCAATACTATTCCAATACTAATATTAGTATATTCCATTCTATAAGAAACTATAATTTAAATTCAAAAAAAATATTAATCTAATGACGAAAGCTACGCACATTCATTTAATTGAAAAAAAAATAACTTTTTCATATATTCTATATATTTTATATATTCTAAAAATAGAATAAAAGAAGGAAAAAAATTGATTTATATGCTTTCTAAATAATTGAAAATCTATTTAACATGATCTTCTTACTTTCGACATTATACTCGCCTGCGATCCAGAATCTTTCAATTTGTAAACTCATTTAACAGTAATTTAAACGAAGATAATACATATACAAGTATATATGTAAGCCTGTAAGGTGCAAAAACTTAAGTAAAATAACAGTTGTTTGTTAATTGTATTCCCAAAGCTTGCCAGAACTGACCTATTGGATGCAACAAGTCACAATATGAACATTCATTGAATCATTGCAAAAATTCTATATATGTTAGCTGTTATCGTGCTTGTTATTCGGAATATTTCTGTTTCTAAAAGACAGCATGCTGAAAAGATGAAAAATGAAACAAGCATGTATTGTTAAACCCATTACATGATATCAGATTAATTGGATTTTTCATTTTATTTATCAAATAGAATACAAAATATTTAGATATTTTAATTTTTTTCTTTTTTTTTTTTGGTTAAATTTTGTTGATATATTTTATGAATATAAAAATAATACAAAATTTTTTCAAGAGTTGTAAACAATTTTTGTCTAACAAAATTATAAATATGAATTATGGATATGGAAATAATAAGATTTAGATTTATTACGATTAAATATAAGATAAATTAATAATAAATATAATTATTAGATAATAATAAAAGATATCCTAAAAATGATTATTTATTTTAAAAAATATATTTTAGAAAAAATATAAGAAATGGATATCTGAATATATGCACTGAAACAAGATATACTTATTTTTAAATATAATTATGATATAGCATATAGCTATATTTTAATCACTAGATCCAATCTATTGATCATCGATGTTTCTATAAATCTCGAAGTAATTAACTATTTTATGGAATACATTTCTTAGCATTTTAAATATGAGAGACTTTTAATTTCTTTTATAATATTACAAAAATTATAAGAATTAGATTTTTAATTCTTCTTTGATTATGCACAGATTTGATGAATTTATTAATATTTTTTTGTTTACTAATAATAAATTATTTCGATTTATATAATTTGATTTTAAGAATTATGAATTAATTCTAATATAATTTAATTTCTATTTAGGGAATATTTTTAAAAATTTTTTCTAATTTCATTGTATTTCATCTTTTATTTTATAATAATATAATAATTATAATTTTTTAAACATAATAAATAAAAAGTCTAAAATAAAAAAAAGAAATATTTAAAGATGAAAAGAAATGATCAAAATAAACTATAATTGATTTATAATATTAATATATTTTACTTCTGTATTTTTGTATCTTTTCAGATTTTATAAATAGATTTATTTAAAATTCATTTTTGTCGCATATTTTGATCAGTTTTAAGGCATTCCGTTTAGGCACAAATTAATTCAATGATTTATACTTTATGAAGTTGATATCATAAATGATGAATTTTTATGATCATTTTATTTATATATGTATTTCTTATTTAATATATTTTCTTTTTTAATGTTCCCCATCTATATATATACATGTTTATAAAGGAAGATCAATATTCTCACATTGATAATTATGTTAAAATATTCGCATTAATTAATACTTTTAATTAAAATATTACATGATTATATAATATTTATTATATATATTTATTTTATTTATTTATTATATATATATATTATTTATATATTTATTTGTATTATTTATTATATAATATTTAAAAAATATATATTATGTATATTTTATATTCTTATTAAAATTATTTTTATAATCTTATTAAAATATTCTTTTTAGATAAATTATTTAATAAATAAGAAAAAAATATTCACATTGTATAAATATGAATAAAAAATTATAAAGAAATAGAGATAAATATAAAAAAAATTTGATAATATTTGATAATTATATTTCATTAAATTTACGAAATATATTTCATAACTTAATATAACAGAAAAAAAAATTTATTTGTGAAATATTATATGTAAAAAAGAAAAATACGGAATGTCTCATTAATACATATTATTACTTTGAATTACATCATTATTATTATTCGCAATGAGAAATATTTTTAAGAGATGTATATATTAATATTAGTTTTTTGTAGATAGACATGTTAAGAACACATAAAAATCAACTTTCATTTTTAAATAGAACCGTATATTTTTTTATACATCAATCGATGCAGTTTTTAATTCTTTATAAAAAAATATTAATTAAATGTATATCGAAAAATGATTAATTTAGAATATATTTTGATGTAAATATTATTAAAATAATTGTATTTAATTATTTAACTATATTTATTTATTAATTATTTACTGAAAAAGTTCAATATAATCTATTTACATCTCGACATTTTTTATAGAATAGTGAATATAATCTATTCTATCTTGTGATTTTTAAAATTATTTAAAATTAATTAAAATTTTATTGCTTTATATATAAATCATTTTTTTTTATAAATTTTAATTTTAGTTTAATCTTTAGTTTCTTTTTTTTTATTTTTTTTTTTACTTTTTTACTAACAATTTTTAGATGTTTGTTTAAATAAAAAATGAACGAGATTTTAAACACCAGTAAAAAAAACATTTATTCTTTATTTTTAAAATTATATATTTATTTTTTAATATAAATTTTTTAATATATTAAATATATACAGCAGATAATAATTATGTAGAAAAATAAGTATGTAACTTTAAAAATAAAAAAATAATAGTTTGTTTTTATTATATTTCATAAAGATAATATAAAGTTCATATTTATTAAATATAATGAATATAAAATATTTTTTTTATTTAAATAGAAAAAAATTTTTTCATTCTCATACATCCATTTTATAAATATTTATATGCAATACGATGGATAATTGATAGATATAAATATTAATGTAAAAATTATTTTTATTTATTTTAATTTTATTTATTTATTTTTATTTTGATACCTTTGGTAATAGAATCAGATTTATTATTAAGCAAAATAGATATGTTCTTAGAATCTGCTGAAAAAAAAGATCTGTAGAAAACTTTGTTATTAAAGCATAAAAAAGTAATATACATATTAATTTTTTATTTTTATTTTTTTTTTAATTTTTAATTTAAAAAACTATAAAAATATAAATTAATACAATTTTAAACATTATAATTTTTTTTAAAACAAATATTCTCATTTATATAAGAAGAGTTATTCTTATTTATATAAGAAGAGTTTTGATATTCATTTAGATAGCATAAAAATCTTTAAATACAGATATAAATTAAAAAATCACTATATTCATTAATTTTTTATAATTCTTACATTATTTGAAAGTTTTTGCAATTCATTATGTTCAATGATTTCTTGTATATATATTTCCATTTTTTAATAATATTTCAATAAATTTTTGTTATTTATTATATTTAAATTACAAAATTATATTTTTACAAATTACAAAATTACATTTATTACAAATTTAATAAATTATGATTATACTTCGTTTCTGTTCTTTTATAATTTTTATTCGTATTTATAATAATGCGAATAATTCTCTTTTATTTATTAAATAATTTATATAAAAACTTTTATAGATTATGTATATTATATGTATTTTTTATAAATATTGTTTGAATGCAATTATGCATATTTTTGTAATTATTCAATAAATAATTAGTTTATACATCCACTGAAAATAAAAATTGAAAATTATTGGAAAATTAAAATATTTAATATCTTTCAATTAGATTTTAAATTTTCATTATAGCCTTTGAAGCTTTTTATTTTAACTTTTTAATAAAGTTTTAAATAATTATATATATATAAATAAAAATTTTTTCTCATTTCTTTATAAATCATATATTAATAAAATTCGAAAAGAATTGAATGTTATTTATAAATCATTTCTTTGACTTCTTTTCATCCATAAATTTGAGATCGTGTATTGGGTTCAAATGATCCAAAATACGGATCGTTATTCATAAAAAGCATACATTCTGTGTTTCAAATTTATCATCTCGAAACAAAGATGCATTGAATTTAATAAAAATTCATTTGAAAATAATAAAAAGAAATTGAAAATTGAAAATGATTAAAAAGAGATGAGAAGATACGACCAATTAAAAAATTGAAATAGAAATTGTACGCTCTGGAAATTGAAAAGTGACGATTGTATAAGTATAACAGTATTATTTATCAACGAAATTCGAGCATTGCCTTTTATTTGGCTACCAGCTCGCGTAACAATGATTTTTGAAAATTATTTGATATGATATAAGTCTGTATATAATTTTTTGTCACGTAAACTTCGATTGTTCATATAAAATTTGATTATCGAAATTTAATAGTACTACGTGAGCAAGTGTCGCAACTGCAGAATCGTATTTGTCATTATTGCATTCATTTCGCCTGATATAACTTTTTTTATATTTCTTCTCTTATTTTTCGCTAAATGATGTATAAACGGATTAAAATCGCTAAAAATACTATATATATTTTATAATTGTTGTTTAACATTAATAATGTTTATTTTGTCAATTATTGTTTAGCAAATAAATAAAATATCTATATATTTTATATTGTATATACACTATTTTGAAATTTTCAGAATCACTTTTCTAATTATAGTTACATGGAATTGTTTACTGATTTTGTTATTAAAGATAAAAATATCGATAATAAAAGTATCCGTTACATCGATATATTTCTTTTATTAATTTAAAAAAATAAAATTTTAATAACTTCTTTTTATATTTTATATAATTTCTTGAAATGAATTAAGGATTTTATTTTTTTGGCTGTATTTTATGCAAGTATATAGTATATAGTAAGTATATATTTATCAATTTAAATTTTATTTTTAATTAAACACTTTTTATTAAACACTTTAAAAATGTATCTACTTGTATAAATCAATTAACTGTTAGAACATAGTGTTTCTAGCGATTGCTTTTAGTATGCATTATTTTTAATATACATTTTAAAAGATAAATAAAAAAAAAAAATAAAAAGAAAAGAAACGAATTATACAATTTTTGAAAGATACCGTAATTAATAATTTGTTAAATAAAAATATAACACGTTGACAAAGACGATTCAACATGGCATTCACTAAATCAGTCAGATTATATGTAATCTTACTCGATCATGCCACGATAATGAGATGAATGAAAATCTATGCATGACTTTTGCTCTATGCAGCCAATGAATTAGTGAAATTGAACTAATAAATCAATCAATATCATTTATTTAAGACATTTAGTCATGGTATAAGATAAATATCTCTAAAAAATAATTTCCTGCTTTCAAAAGAAGAAAATTTTAAAGAAATTCGAACAAAAATAGATATAAAAATAAATATAAATTTTTATCATTAGAAGAAATGTGATAAAAAGAAATATTAAGAAATTATTGAAATTTTTGAAAATTATTATCTCATAATATAATAAAGATATCAATAATTTTGTTCATAATAATAATAAAGAATATAAAATTTTAACATTTACGTTATTACACAATTCTAATATTGTCATATTCTTGTAACTGTTTCAAATAATTTTTAAAAATTAAATTCTCTGTTTTTGATTATTATTACTGTTATTCTATATAATAATTATTTTATATGTACATAAATAAAATAATATAATAAAATAATTAATTAAATAATTTGATGAATTATCATATCAAATTATCAAGTTTACATTAAATTATCAATTATCCAAATATTTATGAATGTCATAAATTATACGTATATTATAAAGTACCAATGAATTAAATACAAGAAATATTTGTATATAATATTTTTTATTGGCAACTTTTTTTATACGATATGTAAATGTTTATAATGTTGAATAAAAATATTTTTATATTTATGATAAAAATTTGAATATACTGAATCTAAATAACATAAGTATCAAGAATAAAAATAAAATAATAAAAAAATATATATATATATAATATATATAAGAATAAATAGAATAATATAAAAGTATTTTAGATTATATATCTTGTTTTTAATTCATTATAAAATTATAATTATTGAAATATTGATATTACGTAATGTATA